GAGCGCCTGGCCACCTCTGAGCGCGGCGTCCGCGCCAGGGCTGGTCCCCGAGCCGACAGCCCCGAGGGCTCGGGGGCCAGGAGCCGCGAGAGTACGCCCCAGCTTCCCGACGGGGTACCCCAGTCTCGGGAGAAGGGCAGGAGGGTCGTGCCCGAGACCCAGGAGGCTGGCGTGAAGGCGATACCCGAGACCCGGGAGGCCAGCGTGGAGGCGGCACCGTTGACCCGGGAGGCCAGCGTGGAGGCGGTCCCCGAGACCGTCGAGGTGGATGCGTGGGTGACGGAAGAGCTGCTTGGGCTGCCCGAGGCCGCGGCGCGCGAGCTGGAGCTGCTGCGCGACGGCCTGGAGCACCAGCGCGGGGTGAGCGAGCTGCTGCGGAGCCGCCTGCGTGAACTGGAGGAGGCCCGCGAGGCCGCGGAGGCGGCGGCGGCAGTGACAAGGGCCCAGTCGTTCGAGGCCAGCACCCAAACCCCTTGGGCCTGCGCAGACAAGGCCACGCAGACTGCGCCTGCCACGGACGCCCCTTGCCTGACGCCAGAGAAGCCGTCTCACTCTGCTGAGGGGCCCCCGGCTGTGGCCCCCGCTGGTGAGCCCCTATCCGTCCCTGCGCCTTGGCCCGCCCAGAGGGGCGCCGGGTCTGGATTCAGTGTCTCCTTCTGCCCCCGCCAGGAACTCTCAAATCCATCATGAAGAAAAGAGACGGCGCACCCGGCGCCCAGTCCAGCCCCGCCCCCAAGAGCCTGCAGTTTGTCGGGGTCCTCAACGGAGAGTGAGCATCTCCCCACTCCCTGTGGCCGCAGCTGGGGGACCGAGGTCGGGGTGCGAATCTGCGCGCTGCTCCCGCCCGCAGCATGGTCCTGGCAAGCCTCCGTTTCTTCACCTGTAAAACGGGGACGACCACCCTCGCCCGGCAGGCCTCCACCACGAGCGCCCAGCTCAGGTTCAGCAGACGCCCCCCACCTTGTTCTCAGGTACGAGAGCTCCTCCAGCGAGGACGCCAGCGACAACGACAGCGAGGATGGCGCTGCCGAGCCCCCACAGAGCAGCTCCTCGGCCTCCGGGGACGACAGCGGGGGATCCGATTCGGGGTTGCCTGGCCCCGCCAGCGCCGAGGATGCCGGAGACTCCGAGGCGGAGCGGGAGACTGAGCAGAAACCGGGGGTAGAGGAAAGGTGAGCCCCCCGCCCCCAGCCCCGGGCCCTGCGCTCCCCAGCGTCTTCTGAGCATCCCCCGCCCCCCTCCGCAGGTGCGAGCTGAGCCCGCGCTTGAGGGAGGCGTGCACGGCTCTGCACCAGCAGCTGAGCCGGCCCCGCGGCGTGGCCCGCGATGGCGTGAGTGCAGGGCAGGGGTGCCCCCCTAGAGACTCTCCCAAGCCCTGGGAAATCACATGCCCGGACTCCTCTCGGTTGGGACCGCCAGCAACCAACTCAGGCCCTCCAAAGGGGGCCGTGTCCACTGTCCGTGGAGCCTCAAGGACAGTGATCATCGGCCTTGCCCAAGTTCTCCCGCAAGAACCCTGCCCCTAGGGCCCAGAGCCGCCCCTTTTCCCGGAGTGGGTGTGGTCTCCCTTGAACTTCCCTCGCCCCCTCCCAAACAAACTGACTAAAGAGGCCTCCTTCAGCCGCGGTCCGAGGGCATCCCGGACCTTGCCTCAGATTCCTGGACCCTGGTAACCCACTTTCCCGCATTCTTGCAGGGCGCAGCGCGCCTGGTGTCCCAAGAGTGGTTTCGGGTTTCTAGCCAGCGGCGCTCTCGCGCGGCGCCTGTGGCAGCAGTGCTGGGCGCGGTGTCGCTCGTGGGGCCGGAGCTGCTGGCGCACGTGGTGAACCTGGCAGACGGCAACGGGAACACGGCCCTGCACTACAGCGTGTCCCACGGGAACTTAGCCATCGCCAGCCTGCTGCTGGACACGGGTCAGCGCCAGGGGGAAGGGAGAGCCATGCAGTGGGGAAGCAGGGGGCGATGAGGACGAGGGGGAGGACCTGGGCAGGCCCTACCTGAGAGAACTTGGAGAAAGGCATAGATGGGAGTAGACCCTGACACTGGGGGACCTGCTGTCACTCTCCCGGAGTTACAGGATTCAATGGACTGGATCAATCACCAGGGGCCCGGCCTTTTGGACTCACCATCCCCACCCGTTCTGTCTTGCCTCCTTTGCTGGGCTGGCAGCCCTGAATCTCTAACCACAGAGCTCTCAGCCACAACTTCCTGCCACCTACCTGTTCTCCAGCCTCCAGGGGAGGTACACCAAGGTCTGGGCTTGGTTCCCTGGGGCCGGCTGCACACACACCGCCCACCCACTCCCACCCCCCAATACACTGGCTCCACCGGATGCATTTCTATCACCTCCTCCTGCTGGTCCACCCCTCCAACCTCCCCCACCCCTACGCATTACACATGCCCAGGTGTCCAGAGTTCCACTGACTTACTGCAAGCCTGCCTGCCTGCCAGGTCCCAGATGCAGCCACATCACCCCTGCAGGGCACAGGGGGTGGGCAGATGGCTGTCCTCCAGGATCCCCCACCGGGGACCCTCTCACAGGTCCAGACCCCCTCTCCCCCCAGTCGAGGTCTTGGTGAACTGGAGAAGGGCACTTCTCTAGGTTGGTCGGGGAGCCAGGGTCAATGAACGAACTCGGGAGCCATCTTCTGGGTAACCCCTACCATCCAGGGGGGCTGGGGCTCCAGCAGTGGCTGGACCAGGACAATTGATCCCCAAGCTCCTTCCGCCCGTTGCCATTTGCAACCCAGTGAGTCAAACTCATTCGAGCATTGTGGTTTTGTACCTTGGGCTCCTTGAATCCCCATTATCTCCTGCACTTGCACCTGCCCGCCACTGCAAGCTGCCCCCCCCCCTCCCTGCCCTGGGCCCCCTTGGTCATCACCAGCCATCCCTCTGCCCTACCTGCTCACAATGTCAGCCTGCCTCTCCCTCTCCCAAGGCCTGGCCCTGTCCTTCTGACTCACCTGTGCTTCGAGACCTTTCCTTTTCTATCTCCTCCGTTGGAGCCTTTTGTCCTGAATGAGCCCTCCACCCCCCACCCCACTAGCTGGCTGCCCTCTCAGATCTCATCTCCTTAGCTCCTCCCAACCAGTCCCACTCCTGGACCTTTGTCCCACTTATACTTGGCCCTGGTGTCACCTGTTCCCCCACTGTACTCCGTTTTCCAGGACCCATCTTTTCTCCTTTTCCACCCCACCCACCTCTAGCTACGCCCCAGTGTCCTTGCCTCCTCTGCTCATGGTTCTCTGGTGTATGTTCACCATCAAAGCCACCCCAGGCCCCTCTCACCTCACCCTGCCTGCTTCCCAGGAGACCCTGAGTGCATGGGTGTGAGGGCAGGTAGGTAACTGTCATGTCAAAACATGACATCCTTTCAAATAGGGAGAAAAGCCAGAATAGTACAGAGACACAATCCAGACAAAGGCATCCTTGAGCCAAGCAAGGGCTGGAGGGGCTGCTGGGACAGGGCGTGAGATGCATCTGACTCCACTCTGGTTATGTCTCTATGCCCCTACCCCATCCCGACACTGCCACTGAAGCCATGGATGCTTGGGGAAACAAGGACCATACAATGGGGGTGGCAGGGGGATACCACACTTCCTCTCATTTAGAATTGTTTTTGATATTGTCTTAACCCTCATACTCAGTCCTCCAGCCCCTTTCCTATTTCCTCCCTCCAGCCCTCCTCTCAGTGCTTTACTTCTGGAGTGGTGGTGGGGAGACTTTCTAACAACCCTCCAGTGAGGTGCTGGAGAGGGGTGGGCAGTGGCCTGGGTCCCAGGAGCCATGGGGAGGTTTTAAGAAGGTAGGTGAGAGGCCAGACTTCATCCAAGCAGCTGCTGTGGCTTAAGTGGATGCTGGGGACCAGGTGACTGGCTGGCTCTGAGCTCTGGGAGAACCACCATGGTGGCTAGGAGTTGAATCAGTTCAGTTCTCAGCGTCTCCACGAGTCTAGGGAACTGTGCCTTGCCTCAAAGGCCTGTCCTTCAAGGTGCCTCTGGAAGCGGGTTTGAATTGCTAAGCTTTCAGCTAGCTAGTCTGGTGATGGCCACATAAGACCCTTTCAGTCAATATTTGAGTGCCAACTACATGTCCTCTTGAGCTGTTGGTGTGGCGGTTAAGCATTCAGCGGCTAACCAAGTCAGAGTGAACCAGCTGTCCTAAAGAACCAGCACCCATTGTAGCAGCTTTGAGAACCACGAGGAGTTGAAATCGATGCCACAGTAGGTTTATGGCTGTCTTTGGCATACTACATGCCAGGTGCTGTTCTCATCGGGGAGACAACCCAAACGCGACTGCCGCTGAGCTGATGCAGACTCCATCGGACTGGGTAGAACTTCTAGGACTGTTGACTGTGTATGGGAGTAGGAAGCTCTCTCCTCCCTCACAGTGGCTGGTGGTTTTGAACTTGTGGATCACTGCCCAGCTTGCAGCCACACCACCAGGGCTCCTATATAGGGGAGTTAGCAGGGAACAAGACCCAGTTGAGTGAGATGGTGCCAGGAGACGTTAGGCAGGGGAGAGGGACAGACCTTGGAAAGGGTAGGCAGTTTGGGGAGGAGGTTCCACTCAGGTTAGATTTGACCAGGCCCTGAAGGTTGAGTGTGAGGTCATAGCAGTGGCCAGTGACATAAAGCAGGCTACTTGAACAGAAATACATAAGGTAGAACAAGAGGCATTTCCTCCCAGGCTGGGAAACAAGGAGCCTGAATTCCAGCTACCACTCTTGAGGGGAAGGTGCTCCCAGTCAGTTTCTGTGGCCTTGGCATCTATTCCTTCTCCATCTGTGCTTGCTTCCCACCAAGATTCATTTTGGGATCACGTCCCTAGGATTAAGATAACTGCCACTCAGACATCACAAAGAAAACCCAACTGTGTCGGAGACACACAATTCAATCCGATACCGACCCTGGCTGTGAACCCTCAGGTGCTGGGCCAGGTAGGGCTAGGGTGCTGCTGACAGGCCTCTTTCTCTCCCAGGGGTTTGTGAGGTGGACCGTCAGAATAGAGCAGGCTACTCAGCGCCCATGCTGGCTGCACTCACCGCTGTGGGGCGGGACGAGGAAGACATGGCTGTGGTGCAGAGACTCTTCCACATGGGTGATGTCAATGCCAAGGCCAGCCAGGTGAGTAAATGATGCTCCCCAACTCCGAGCCCTTGGGCTGTCACTCCACCAAGGAGGCTGACCCCAGCATCCCAATCTCAGACAAGGCAGACAGCCCTCATGCTGGCGATCAGTCATGGCCACCAGGACATGGTGGCGGCCCTGCTGGCATGTGGGGCTGACGTGAACGCGCAGGATGCTGATGGGGCCACAGCACTGATGTGTGCCTGTGAATATGGGCGCCTGGACACTGTGCGGCTGCTGCTGGACCAGCCAGGCTGTGACCCAGCCATCCTGGACCATGTAAGCCTCCCCTGGGGCTGGGGTGTAAGGGGATGGAGGTGCTGTTGCATAGGGTGTTGACTGTTCCTCATGACCCCAGGAGGGCACCAGCGCCCTGGCCATTGCCCTGGAAGCAGAGCAGCAAGAGGTGGCTGCATTGTTGCATGCCCACCTGAGTGCAGCCCAGCCTGGGGCCCCGGTGAGTGCCTCCCCCAAGGGCAGGGAGCTGATAGATGCAGACCTAGGCCAGGCCTAGGCATGGGAAGGCTCCGCACATCTTCCTTCCCTTGTCCCCAAACTTGCTGCCACTCACTCCCAGCAGGGCTGCCTCCCCGCACATTTCCAAGGCTGTAAATCTTTACAGGACTAGACAGCTTCGGTTCTCTCCCCCTCACCTACCAGCTGCTGTCAGTTCTGGCTCCATCAAAGCACAGCTGTGCTCCAAAGGTTTCAATGGTTGCTTGCTCACATGCCGAATGCCAGGCCTTCTCCCAAGGTGCCTCTGAGCAGATCCTTTTGGTTCAACTGTTTTTGTCATCTGCAGTGGCCATAGGCAGGTGTGCAAGGAGGGTTGGGGGTCTCCATGCAGCCAGGAAGTTCAGGATTAGGAGCAGAGCAACATACCTTGTCCCGTTAGGCTAAAGGGAGGGGGCAAAGCTTCCACTAGCCCAACCATCCCTGCTTCTCCCCTCTCCAGCCATCCTCCGACCCCCTTCCGGCCACTGCTGAAGCAGGATGCAAGGGCAGCAGTGAGGACCTCCAGGCTCCGTAAGGCACCTGGCACCTTAATCCAGATGTTGGCGGTGGCCCCATGGGCTCCTGAAGAGTGGGCCCTTTGTAAGGGGTCCTAGTTCTACCCCCCACCTCTTTAATAAAAGCTTCCTACTAAAAACCTGTGTCCTGTTTGGAGGCAGAGCCCTCCAGGTGCTTCCTCGTAAATCAGGTCATGATCAATGCCACTCACGTGTACACATATGCACGTCGCTAGTGACTATCTGCTCACTCAGGGTGGCCCCACTGTTGTACAACAAAACGAAAGGTCCCCGGTGTGGTTCCCATCACCATAGCAATTACAATACAATAATGACAAGGCCCCAGGTCCTGGGAAATGTATGGTCTTCAAAAAAGTTCACAAACGTTTTCACGTGCTAATTAAAGAGTCAACGCTGTGGTAACCCGTCCCCAGGT